CTCATTGTCCTGCCTGAAATTGAAAAAAAAGTATGGGTTGCAAAATTGTATATTGAGTAAACCTTCACAAGCCTGGATTGCAGAAACAGAAATGTAAAAAATTATTTCAACGTTTAGTTCAGTTGGGAACTGTAATTTCTTTAACAAACGCAAATGCATCAGATGCTTCCAGTTCATCTGAAGTCAATGTAACGGTCAAGTGATACCCCATTTTTGATTTTTTTTAAGCTTTTACATGACTTGAAAACCTGCACTCCGAGACTCTAGGATCGGCTCCAACATTCCCACGACCCAACAGAGTAAACAGTTTGGAGAACTGATGGACTTGAAAAACGGTCTTGAAAAAGTTGGTTGCTAACAAGTGGCTAAATGGGACTACAGAGGTTATCCCTAGTCCGGTTTTACGGCCTCACTAGTCCACTTTTACAGCCATGTGTTTATACACAATGAAACTATTCTAACGCAATCTTTCCAACTTGTAGATTTAAAATAAAGATTGAAAGGGTTGTTGAATGCTTAGTGATGGTGATGTTGAAGTCATGCGAACATGGTGTAGTTTGTTTATAACCTAAATTTAGCTTTTACTTCTGCTGATTGTATTTAGGCTTCATAACGTTTGTGAAGAATATCTTGATGAACAAAATGTGTAAGAATCATAAAACTTTTGTTGGTCACAGAGCTTATTTTCTGCAATAATCCAAACTCCAATTCCGGGGTTGGCCTACAAAAATATGCCATGTCTGTATAGTGCTCTATTTAGATGGATACATGATGTTAAAAACATCACTAAATAATATATATTTATAGCTGTAAATAATGCTGTGCTTTATCAATGCACAAAAAAGTTTGATAAAGTTGTGTGAATGGTCAGTATAGTGATATTGCTGGAGTTGATTTGGTTTTAATGAAGTAGTTCATGGGTGCATTTTTTCAAATAGTTTTGCAAGCATGTTCTACTGTAGAAAAACATCACCCATTTTCTTTCAGTCTAGATGGGTGACAACAGTCAAAACTGACACCTTTCTGCTGTGTTTAACACCTGACTTGAGATGTTGAGAGTGAGATGTTCCTCTGCTAAATAAAGCAACATTTACCTTTAGTCTGCCAAAATCTAGCATGAAGTCTATTACAACATAGGTCAACTAACAAAACAATATAGTTTCTTTCAATTTTGTATACAGAAGTTTTGCATTTATTTGTGTTTAAAAAAAGAAAAGAAAAAAAAAAGCTTAATTCTCTCTGTGTTCTTTTTTCTGACCTGAATGGAAAGTAGTGGCTATGCTCTCAAAATCAAGCCCTCTTTTTTTTTTCAGTGTGTCTAACTAAAGAGTTCCCATGTGGTACAAACCATGGAAACACATTACATAAAACTAATTCAAGACAGACTACAGTAATGTTCAGGAAGTAAAAGTATTTTTTTCCTTCGGGAAATTGATTTTTAGTGATAACATATTAAACTAACGTAAGACTGCCCATGAGCTCTGAGGTTTCTAAATGATGGTGTATGCTTTTGTAGATGCCACAAGTAAACGTGTTTTCAACTTAACGATACGAAATAAAAATAATTTTCAAAATGTATGCTACTGATCTTATGTGAACATTTCATTGGTGTATATCTATCTATCTATCTATCTATCTTATTTCATTTTTAATGTTTAATAAAAATGTCATGACTAAATCTTCCAGTGAAACAAAAGACTTCTATCTGGTGACAAATGCCAGACTTCTGCAATGATTTGTCTGCTTAAACCCCGCCCCCTTTTTCCTACAAAACCCTTCAATCCAACTAATCAACAACCGATGGATAGAACAGCTGGCTTTTATCTTTGCTAAATATCTGATTATTGAGGCAGTGCAGAAAGGCAATGTTATCTGCAATAGGGTTAGAAAATATAGTACATGGGCTACAAATGATATGGATAACATGATAGGAGCAGATAAGATATGAAAAAAAAACAGGGCTTTTATAATATTGCTCACTGAACCTTGATGCATTGAGAGATGTCCATATTTTGTGAACTTACAAATAAACAGCTACATAGTATTATTTAGCCTGTGTTCATGCTCTATATGTGGTCACTGGTCATGGAAACTAATACTGTGTATTTGAAAGTAAAATACGCTCCGCATACAGTCTTATCACCTTTACTTAGTGTGGGAGCTGTTTGCCATAGCACCTCACCTGCCATAAAACACATTATTTGTACAGAGGAAAGGGGCAGTATAAACAGACTTTTAGAGATAAAAAGCACCACACCTCAACATATGATGCAATCTAAACATACTTCGTAGACATCCTTAATCTCTAATAACTCTGTTCTGCTCTCTGTTGTTGGTGTTTCTTTGTTTGAATATGGCACTTATCACATGCTGTGTGGTATCGACGTTTGGTATCGGGGCATTTTAACGAGTACGAGTGCGACAGGAGCTCAGTATCGGGCCCGACACCGGTGCATCCCTAATTGATGGATAAGATGTTGATTTCAGATGGGCCTATACAAGTATGCATTGCTCAGGGCAGAAAAAAGGGCTTTTGTTAGGCCTAATTTTTGAAGAATGTGAATGTCCTACATTAGAATGTCAAAACAGCTCTATGCAAAACAAGTTAGTTTCTCAACAGGCCTTGACTTCACACTTGAAACCATCACAACACCAATACCTGTAGAAGTGTTACTTTCTATAAAGCAGGGGTCTTAAAGAAAGCAAAAGTCCACCAATTATTAATTGAGAGAGAACACAATACTATATTATGCTAATTTAAAGTTAACTATATAGTAATCTGTACAGTTCAGTTAACTTTAAGTTTGCATAATATTGTTCTCTCTCTCTCTCTATATATATGATATATTCATAATATAGCATTATTAAATATAATAGAAGTAAAACTATTTACTTAGAATAACAAGAGAACATCTTATACTTCACATTGTATACATTATATCAACAAATATATCCAAACTTGCACTTTATCCCACAGAACAGTTACCGCGTTTGGGTTTCCTATCGCAACTGTATAAAAGACGAAATGTTCAGTCACAATAAAACAGGTTATCTCCCCATAAACATTACTATACCACAGAACTGAACTGTGCTGGATCCTTAAATGTGCGAAGCGAAGATCAGCGACAAATGTGCAAACGGACATTTAATGCACAGTATTATGGGTGGAGAAGGCTTACGTGAGCTTCAAATAACGCAGTCGTATTCTTGCAGGAATTACAGAGCAGAAAGCGCATAAACTTCTGCGTAACAGCGCACTCAACAGCTTTATTACTATTTTAATACTTTAAAACGTCAAACAGAGCGCATATATAATGTAAAAGCGTATGTTACTTACAGTTTAAGCCGCGGCCCGTCACTTCCTAGGTACAGAGAGTACCTCTGCGCTCGAGCGTGAGACACGCAGCGTAATATTTAATGAGGTGGGTGGGACTCATTCTTTCCATGACTGTGTCACACCAAACAATCTTTAACTAAATACAAAACATGTGATTCTTTCGTACACCATGACTCACGTTGTTTGGTAATAAAGGAATGACTATCGTAATCTTTCCATAAGTCTGTCAAATATGACCCAACCTACTGTGGGGTGTAGTTACCGTTTAAAAGAGCAGCTGTATGAAATGCGTTGTAGTCTCTTTAAGATCTCCGTTTCTTGTAGGCTGTGTGTTTTTCTGCTGCTGCTGTTGTTGTTTTTTAATATTTAATACAATGGATATGTGATATATTCTAGCACAAGTCACAAAACCACTGGGTGGATCTAAATATGGAAGTTTGCCCAAGCAGAACACGCCCTAAAGTCAGTCACGCCCATCTGTGCGTGCGTATGACGTCCGTGTACGCGTGTGTTTACAGTATTTAGGAAAACGCGAGTTCATAAGTGTTCGATTTAATGTTGAAAGTGTGATTTTTTTTAAACTCTACTACTGAGAATACATGGCACATTTTTGCTTGAGGGTTCTCTCGTGGCTTTTCGTATAGAGTGCAGAGCTGGTTATCTGAGAAAAAGATAGCTGTTCTGAACTTGTCCTTTGTAGATACAGTATTAAATATGGGAACGATGAAGAAGAATATAGGTTTGATTAATAGTACTTGATTAATGGTATTTGTTGTTGTTGTTTACTAGTTAAATATTTACACAAATATAGATTTTTAAGTCTCCCTCGTTTGTAGTCTTTAAGAATTCTTTGGTACAATATCTAAAAAGCTGTCAAATAATAAGAATAAAAAAATAAGGAATTTTGTTGGATTTAGTAGATAAATATAATTTATTATAATATTTTGTACTCCTGTTTGATAAGGCTGTTTTTGTGATTTTAGCCTGTCGGGAAATTTTTGATTATTGTGTGTGTGTGTGTGTGTGTGTATATATATATACAAGGTGTATATATACAAGGAGCCTAACCTAAACTGATCATCATTTACCAACATAATGAAGTAAATAAGCCCAGTTATTAAAGGCTGAGAACTTTTTCCTCAATATGAGTTCAGTATTTTGACTATGTGCCATTGTTATTTCCTCAAAATAGCACATCAATTCACTTTTAGAGCCTGTGATGTAAGATTTATTTCACTCTCATGGTTTAACTCAGATTAAAAATACTTTCACAACTTTATACTTCCTACATGTACCCTATGGCGTTGATTAATTAGTTAAAATAATTACTACAATTTTGACAGACCACATCCATTTCAGGCCTCTTCTAAATATGCAATCATTGCTACATCCTCTGCAAGGAGACTGCATGATAATTATATTGAGGAAATGTTCTGTAGAAGAAAGCGTGTACTTCCTCAAGTAATCACAGCAGTGATGCAAGTCTAACATAATCTGATATCTAAGAAAAGGCTGTATTTTTTAAACTGTGGAAATGGTGGATTTTTTTAGCTCCTATGGCTAAATAGCATGTTTACAAGACACAAAAATGTAATATATTTCATATTGAATTAGAAAAATGCATAAAGTCTGTTCAAAGTGTATGAAATATTTACAATACATTTACATTCATTTGTTCATTTAAAAATCAAACAAAAATGACAAAATAATTCTAAGGTTTCTCAGTAGATTCTGATATTCGTGGAATAACACAGGCGCCTACGGATAAGATGAGGACAGCAGTGGTGTTCCTTGCTGTCTGGTGAGCCAAGTAAACACCAAAAGTCACCTAAGAACAAGAGCAGAGGAGAAAAGAGAAGTAATGTAATTTTCATATTCTGGAAATATCATTTCTGCCTTCTTGTAAAAGCAATCAAAGGAAGAAAACAAGAATAAGGAGTTTTGTTTTTACAGACCTGTCCACTTCTGCATTCAGAAAGAGACCGAAGGGGTTCCTGGGTCCTAGTGGCTGATTTCTGATCAACTCCAATCATCTGACAGCGGCCACATCTCCCAATCACCTTAAACAAAACATCAAGAAAAGACCCGTGCATCTGTTTAAATTCTGGCTGATTATGACTGTGTCTATTACATCAGCTGTTTCCACTAACCTGAAACTGTGTGTCTCCTATTGTCAAGTGAGACCAGCCGTCCTCTGAAAATGCCTCCTGTCCTGAGATGACCAGATTTGCCCTAAAACGCTGAATGAGCTGCTCCATGTCGTGCCATGTTCCTTCATTCACACTATCATATCTTTAACATACCAAATATAACAAAAACATCCCAAAATAATGAAGACATATACTATATATTCGTAGAGTACTGGTTGACAGAATTTTAAAAAGACAGACTAAACAGCACTTTCTTGAAGAAGAAGGTACTGTATTGGTCAGTTGCTGCTGGCATTACTATACCTGTTGGCAATGTGTTCTTGCAGAAAAGACACACTGGCTCTGTTAATAAGCAGAAACTGTGCCTCGTTCACTAGAGAGAGAGCAGTGGCACCACAGTCCCCCGCTGGACATGAAGACATCATTAAGGTAAATTGCTTGCCATTATAGGGACGTACACAAACAAATGAAATAATTGACATACAGTACAAATGCAGAGCTACAGTATATAATGTGCACAGCACACCTCTGGTGTGCGTTTCCCGATAATGTTGTCTCAGCATGCTACGAAGACTCTAAAGGTATACCTTAACTAAACTGTCCATGGCTCTGGTGCTGAATTGGTTGATATCGATAGCTCGAGAATCGATTATTCACTCTATGCAGGGGAGAAAGTAAGGAAGTGGCGTTCTTTATAAAAGAAGCACTTCAGAAATAGTTGAAATTGCATTTTTCAGGGCTCATGGGATCTTATAAATATAATCCAAATTGCAAACTAAATCCAACCTTAGATATTTTATATAATTTCAAAATGAGTGCGTGGACCTTCAACTTCAATGCCCAAACGTATCATGCCTCAACCCGCTACACTAACTGGCAGTATGCCTTCAGTTCACTGGCATTTGAAAGGGTCATTTATATTATCATAATATATTTGCCATAGTGTCTTCATTCACTCCACAACCAGGGTTGATTGCCCAGCAGCCACATCACATTATTGGTGTAAATCACTAATTTCCATCATCGGATGATCTACTCAATAAAAGCGCAAGACGCGAAACAAGGCCTATTACTCGCAGGGTACCAGCAATGACATGGAAGCCTTGATGCGCCTCCATCACCTTGTGCCTGGAGGAAGGCATATGGATATAATCTGTGGCATGACGGAGCAGGATGTTCGTGACTGAGTGAATGCACCACCACATAGATGTCTTACTCAGCCCATATCCATCCACAGACCATATCCATCCGCATCTTAGAATTGCAGCTTCAGACATGGTAGCCAGGGGACTAAAGTTTTCACGGATGACATAGTGCACACACACTAAATGACTCCGGGGACAGCGGCGTCTTTGATTTAGCACAACTATTCGCTGTATCACTGCCATAGTTTGACCAAACACCACTTTTGCAACGTGGTGGCCACTAGTGGAGTGAAGTGTCAACAGTGATAATGTATAGCTAAGAGTGGTCCAGACTTAAAGGGGTCATATGATGCGATTTCAAGTTTTCCTTTCTCTTTGGAGTGTTACAAGCTGATTGTGCATAGATAAGATCCCTGAAGTTGCAAAGACTAAAGTCTCAAAACCAAAGAGATATTACTTATCAAAGTTAAGACTCTGCCACGCCCCCCTAAAACGGCTCGTTCTAACACGCCCCCACATATCTACCTCACTATGTGAAAATATCTGCGTAATGCCGCTCAAATGTGCACGCAAAGAAAGAAGGCGTGGTTTCAGTAACCGCAGTTAGTGTTGAAGCAGCCATGTCAGGGAGACGCTGTGTGTTTCTAGGCGAAAGCAAAAGCACTTTACTTGGCCTTCCGAAAGTAGATGCATTTAGGAATCATTAAGATCACTTACAACAGAACAGCAATGCATTTTATGGACGACCGTTTCGTGAACCTAGGAGAGGAGGTAATTCTGACTTTGCTATGACAATCTGGCACTTCTGAATCAGCTACTGTAAGTATGTTTTGTTATTAGTTTAAGTATTTGCTATTGACTGTTCAAATGCGGAGTTTTGCGCATCGTGTGTGTGTGCACGCGCGCATGCGTGTGTGTGAGAGAGAGAGAGAGAGACCGAGAGAGAGAGAGCGAGTCAGCTGTCTTAACCGTGGCTTGTGTACTGCAAACACATACCAGCTTCATCACTGTGTCTGTCAAGCGACTCTGTTCCCCTTTCGGGCTTCAACTGATGGTAAAACTAACGACATTATTTACTGTCTTTACATTTATTTTGAAAGATGAAGCTCGCGATTATGGTAAGGGGCGTTACATTTCCAACGAGTGCTTGCGGGTGTTCGGCCAATCACAATGCACTGGGTCAGCTGGCCAATCAGAGCAGACTGCGCTTGTCAGAAGGAGGGACTTTGTAGAAAACAAAGCGTTTGAGAGAGGCGGGGCATAGAGGACCTACAATAATGTACAGTATTTGAAAAATAATGTGTTTTTTGAACATTAAAGCATGTCAACATATTCTGTTACACCAAATACACAAAATAATGATCTTTAAAAAAGCATCATATGACCCCTTTAACTAAAAAAGTTTCGGGAAACACGGGTTAACGTTAAGGTTCAGCTTAAGGTATAACTTAAGAACGACATATCATTATGAAGGTTTCGGGAAATGCACCCCTGATCATTTGGTCTCAAAAGAATATTATTAAATGTCTTTATTACTATTTATATCTTAAATATTGATTTATTAAGGTTTATTTTTGGCGTTTTTGCCTTTATTTTTATAGGACAGTATGTTAACAGGAAGTGAAGTGGGAGAGAGAGGGGGGGAGGGAATCGGGAAAGGTCCGCGAGCTGAGACTCGAACTCTGCTATATGTCACGAGGCTATCAGCTCTGACGTCTCAGACATTTCTAGCATGAGGAAAAATGTTTATTTAACATAAACAATCAATCCAAATACAAATGCTGTATTTTACCTTTTGCTCGCCCAAATTTCATATCACGCAGGAATTCAGGCCTTTGCCTTATAAGATGACAAGTTTTCCCCAGAAACTCAGAAAGCCAGGCTGAAACTTCCTCTCCACAATCCACTGTCTGTACCCTACACCAAAGACAGATTCATTTGAAGCTACAGCAATATTCATATTAAGCTTCAGTATTAAGCCACAAAACCATTGTAGATGAGGTTCAAACACATGAAACTGTTTATAAATTTTAAGCTCAACAAATGTCTGCCCAATGCAATGATATAAAATAACTTTTTTTTTTTTTGGTGGGCTTGTGTTTTATCTTCATACCTGTCACCACAAACTTTGCTTTGGGATGTTCTTAGATCTGAATTCGTTAGACTGGTCTCCAAGGGAACAGTGACTGCCTCCATGCCTGAGACAGGAGAGAATACATTACTTGAGCATATTATTGGAGAGAATACATTATTTTAGCTTAGCATCGAATACATTAGAATACATTACTAAAGAATAAATATCATTAATAATCTGAACTTTGACCACATAATGACAGACATGAACAAAAACAAAAAACAAAGCTCAGTTTTTTTGAGCACTACTCTTGTAAAATAAAAATGTGGTTTGTTTTATAGTATCTTTTTCCACATCCAAAAAGGTGCCATGGTATCGTCTGATTTTATCAATGCACTATGGCACTTCAACAATACTTGAAAAGGCCCTTTCTACTAAATATTTAGGCTCTTAAAAGGTGTATTTTATTTACATAAATCTCATGAGATGTCTGCAGTTGTGATGTGCTTTGAAGCGCTCTGACCTGAGACCTGCAGCTGCAGTGTGTTAGAGGCCAGACAGATGACAGGACGGATGAGACACAGCTTTGGCTCCCTTTTTTGGCTCAAACAAACTCCATTCTCATTCACAACCATCCACAAACGGTCATACAACAAACCCTGTGGTCCCAGTGGCCACTCTGTCACCTGTTAGGTCAATCACAACAACAGAGTACTTGCCATGAAAACTGGTATCATAACATCAACCTGCTTTTCATTGTCAACACAGAAGGATTACAAAACAGCTTTCTGTACCTCAAATGATGCGCATGATTTGACAGGATAGATGAAGAGATTTGTTAATGTATGGCTACTGCCATTGTTCTTCTTTCCTTCTTTTGACACAGTGTCTCCAGATGGTGTTATTCTCTCAGGTGAAGGAGTGATAACTTGTCCATTCTCATGCCCTAGTTGGCCATTTGGTTTTGATGGTAGGTCATAAGATGCTGCAGACTCCATCGGTTCAGCTGACTTTAGCTTGATTAGTCTCTTTTGGTCCAGGATTAGTGGTTTGTCCACAAAACAGTTCACAACAAACCGAAGAAAGTTCCGACAGTCCTCAAAACTAGACATATATCCAAAAGACACACGAATGGATCCTGTGGGACGTCCCTCAATCAGATCAATGTTGTCTCCACAGATGTGACCGGCCTTGAAAGGAACCGTTTATTAACAATTATTTCAAAATCCTTTTATTTCTTTCTTTCAATTTCTGTCAGTCAGATATCTATCTATCTATCTATCTATCTATCCGTCCGTCCGTCCGTCCGTCTGTCCATCCATCCATCCATCTGTGTATCGGTACAACTATCTATCTATCTATCCATCCATCCATCCATCCATCCGTCTGTCCATCTGCCTGTCAATCTTTCTGTCCGTCCACTTGTCCATTTGTCCAACTGTCTTTCTAGCAAACATCAAAGTTTGTACTGGCGAAAATTCACTTACATGCAAATTACTCCTCACATTTTGGTTGCTGATAACCAGATAATGTTGGCAGGCTCCCGTGTTGCAGAAACAGCCTGTGCGGATATGAATGTTGAAGAGACTGGCCATTTTGTCCACCTGTCAAAAACAAACAAACAAACAACAATAAGCAAAGACATTCAGTAATAAACATGTTCTAATTCTTACATTTCCTTTATTATTTGAACATATTTCACATTTGTAATTTTTGTTTATAAATATACTTATTTTTACAGGTTGTTAAAATGAATTTGAGGACAATTCATTCAAAATTGGCTACCGGTTGCGGCTCGAATCAAGTTCAAGACATTGATGCTTGCATATAGAACAGCCACAGGCTCAGCACCCGCCTACTTCCACTCCCTACTACGAATCTACATCCCCTCCAGAAGTCTGAGATCCGCTAGTGAGCGACGTCTAGTGGTACCATCACAGAGAGGTTCAAAATCACTTTCCAGAACATTCTCGTTCACCGTTCCTGGCTGGTGGAATGATCTTCCCACCCCTATCCGGAATGCTGAATCCCTGACCATTTTCAAGCGACAGCTGAAAACTCATCTCTTTCGAAGCTACTTGACTTCATCATCGTAAAAAAAAAAAAAATTCTCTCTTTATCTATTCCTTCTCTTTCTAGCGTGTACTTATTTGAACAATGTCTAAAAACTTGGTATTACAAGCACTTCCTGTATCTGTTTGCCTCTTTTAAGAAGAATCGCTTTATGTATCCCCCAATTGTAAGTCGCTTTGGATAAAAGCGTCTGCTAAATGTCTAAATGTAAATGTAAATGTAACATGGCAGTTCCTGACTGACCTGAGAATATCCTACTGTTCGTCCATGACAGTCCAGTAGGCTGAAGTTGAGGATTGCACCCTGTTCAGCAATATTCTGAAAGTCATTATCATAGTGGATCTGAGCCACAGGTTTTCCATTGCTATGACGCAGGCACGAGAGGACAATGTAGGTGTAGCGAGCTAGACCAAATGTGTGAAGCTGAATGTTCAGCATACCGCCTGAAAATCAAAATCATCCACTTTTAATGCAAGTCATAACAATGTGAATCATAATCATGTTCAAGACGTAAACCAAACACTTCTGAACCTGTAAGTTTCTGAAGTGTTTCAAAACCATGATGGAGAGAAATGATGTCAAGGAAGGAGATTGTGCCATCCTCAAACCTGATAAAGTAATTACACGTTAAACAAATTATGACAGGTAGCCTGCTTGCCAACAATTAAAGGTCAAATTCTTCCTGTAATGTCATACCTGCTGACTACATTTGGCTTTGGTACAAAATAGTTCTCTGCCACAAGATAAGCCGCTGCTGTCCCTCCTCCAAAGTAGGTTTTTCTCAAGACCTCAGCAGCCTCATTCCTCACCAGCAAGGCTCCGAGTCCAGTCGGGAAGCCGAACATTTTGTAGAAAGATATCGGCACAAAATCAGCGGGATATTGGCTTAGATCCAGAGGTGAGCAGCTTACAAAACAGGCAGCGTCGAGGAGAACAAACCATCGACCGCGGTGCTCATACATTACATTTAAACGATAATACATGTTTCTATGCTATGACTCACTGACAGGCCAGATGGTGCTAAAGTCCTTACCTGTATCTGACACTTTCCACAGTGTCATGTGTCAGTCTACTGCTGGGATTATGACTGTGAGGATTGCCTGACAAAGAAAAGTATGTTACGATTTAGAGCAAATTACGATTTTGATATTATTAAGTTGTGCATAAAAACAATGCATATGAAGGAACTCACCATAAACATTCCTAGATATATCATCATAAAATCCTTTAATCTGAGATTCAGGAAATAGCGTTGTCCCTGCATGATCAAGGTATGTAACACCTTAAAAAGAGAACGAGGAACCTGTGAACGTCTCCTCAGCGCGGGATATTGGCTTAGATCCAGAGGTGAGCAGCTTACAAAACAGGCAGCGTCGAGGAGAACAAACCATCGACCGCGGTGCTCACATGCTGGATAGAGCTGCTGAGACTGAATTCCCTTCACATAGCTCAGAGGATACTTTCTGCCTGAGAAGTTACTCTGGGCAGGATAACAGAAAAGATGAGGTACAGAGCACTCCTCCTCTCCATTTGTCTGTGTCTGGGGTTTTCTCGCTCTCGTTTCCACTTCGTGAGGCAGAACAGAAACTGTGCCAACTCCCTGGAGTGCGGTCACACCGCGAATGCCCACCACAGAGGTGTGGTTGTCAGTGAGGTAGCAGAACTGACTTCCTGGCCCCTCATTTGACACGGCCTTCCAGGGGAAAGTGTCAGCCACTAATTTCAGTGCTGCGGTACATCCTGATGTGAAAATCACTGAGTACTCTTCAGGACATGTATTGAAATGTTCCAGTATCCTGCAGGGGTTCAAAACAAAGAGCTACCTTATCTTAACTTATCTAATCTTGGCTCTTCATCTATATATCATAACAAATCTTATCATATCAGATCTTGAACAAAACATTATTAAACTACTTATAATACTACTTAAAATATTACTAAAGCTAAAGCCTCAATTCAGGCTAGTTTTCTTGTATGTTTCAAATCTTTTTGTTCCTTCCCCCGTTTATGTTTTGCTTTCTTCTTGCAGTGTTATTTATGTACTATTACAGCATTTATTCATATTTTGAATAAGCTTTTATTTTTATATTTTTAGTTTCATTTCAATGATAGTTTCAGTTTTTAGCAGTTTTGCTTGTCATCTTTAGTTTTTTATATATTTTATTTTTATATTTTATAAATTCATATTATTCATTAATTTAATATTTCTATTTAGCTTTATTAATTTTAGTTTTAGT